TAAGCACATGGTTTTGATGCAAATGTGCCACTGTGCTCAACAACAAGCCATATTACTTACCATCTATAACTAAAAATTGCGATTGTGCAAACTTGTAATTTTTTATTATGACCTCTGGTCCTACCTGATCAGGTGCAGGGGTAGAGTTGTGAATAGTTATAGGGGGTTTAGACCATTTCACCCAAGAGTTCAGGTGTCTGTCAGTTGTACTATTAACGAGCTGACTTACTAATTATAATAATATATTCTCATTTTTGTACATGAGGGACTCCAGTTGACAGGCATCTTCAATATGATAATAATGTACACATGGAATAAATATGTGTAAAATTTTTCACCAACACAGGATATATAAGGATATATAGTGTCACACAAATTCCCTACTGACAACCTTCAACACCCTTCACATTTTGACATAATCCTTTTTGAATAGCCCAGGAAAGACTATGAGGGAACAGAAGGAACAATAGATGAGTTGCAGGAGTGAATGACCTGAAAAAGTAGAGGCCGTGTGATGACTGACTGCCTTAACTTCCTAATGCAGGTTAGACAAACCATCTCAAAAATCGACAAGTTATGGGATAACTAAAGACACTCAGCGGATAGAAATATTGCAATGTACTTTATGCATGATTTAGTTTCTATTTTATTGCTCTCAATTATAAAAGCATCTTGTGAACCAACTAGTTTGTGTAAATCACGTTTATTACTCAAGATGAAGTTAAATCTCTGATGACTGCAGGAATTTAACCTAAAAAAATTCAGCCTGGACAGATGCGCGATATCCCGCGAAAAGTTAATAGGTGTGGAACAGTGAAATCGGGACTTCACAGGAAATGAGATAGTCAGATCTCAGGCGCATCTAATTAAGTGTGTTTTCGTTCAAAGAGGCATTTCACGCGAGAAGGAAGAAAAACAAGGGAAGAAAGCACAGAAACATCAGGGAAAACAGCTTTAGTAGGAAAGTCGGAGGGAATTTTAAAACGTATATTAAATGTTATAATATCCAGTACAGTGTATTCGAAATGGTGAAATACCAATGCTGGCATTAAAAAGGCCACAAATACCTTTGTGTCAGTGATCGTTTATTTACAAAACAAATATAGGCTCCGAGCAAAGACTGAGTGGGAAGTCAAGGCAGCAGCGTCTAGATGACTTCTGCCGCGCTCATATGCAAACTGTATAGTTGAGTGAAAGGAGTGCTCTCATTAACTTCGAAATGGGAGGAGTAATTGTACTAGGTCAAAATTCGACATTCATACTAGTGCATGGTAGAGGAGCCGGGATGATTTTAATGAATTACCATGTGATGCGTGCAACACCACTGGCAAAAGAAACACCGAAAACGTTCGTGAGAGCGTAGCATAGAATATCCCAATAAATTCTGACGACAATAACGGCACTAGGAATGGAAGGATTCTAAAGGACTGAAAAAATTGTGAATACCATGAGTGTTAGAAATTCATAGGTTGAGAGTTATGATGTTCTCGGATAGTACGACATATATTAACGGAATGACTTATACCGTCACTTCCAAATTATTCCTTTTCGTAAACCAAAGACAAATCAAAACCCAAAAAAGATTGTCTAAAGACAAAGCATATTTCGGGACCAAACTCATAGTGCGGAGATGAATGCCTAACCAACTATGGATCTTTCATGAACAGAAACAACTAAAACGATGTATGAACGCGAGACCTCCGCTAAACAAGCCCATTTAAACGATGAGTGTCAGCATCTAATGTTCAGTTGTGGTTGATACAGGCTAGTAATATTATGAAACTACCTACTGCGAGAGAACTGTACAGTTATGGTAGTGCTGTCGACTAGCTACAATTTTTCAGTCCTTAATTAACGCAATTTACCTATG